CTGGCCAACTGACAATCTGTAGTATTTTCTGCTAAATCCTTTAAAGTATCACATATATCGCTTAGTTGGTATTTAACGGCCTTCACCAATGGTACCCTGCACTCCCACCTAGTTTCAGAAAGTGGTTTTAGCGATAACGATTTTACATGAGCATTTAAAATAGCCCACCTCTGAATTGAGCCGGCAAACAGAGTGTACAACCTTTGTAGAAAACCAAAAACGATTTTGCTTGGACACAAGACGATGCTGCATCTCCTAGGATGAGATTCCAGCTATGAATCCCGCAAGGTAAAAAATAAAGTGGATTAATTTCAAGAATACGTGTTTGGACACCACTTTTTTCACCACGCATATTATCACCATTATAATATCCTTGGCCTCTGCAGTTTTGCAATGATATACCTAACTGTTCTAATTCTGTGATTATATAATTAGTCAAACTTTCAGCTGTGGTTTTTTCGACAGCTAAAAAACCAATAAAATGTTCTTAAATTTCAGCTGTATTTGTATTAAAAAATCTTATAATAATTGAAAGTTGCTCAACACGAGAAACGTCGCGAGTACAATCAAGAATGATCGAGTAATATTTATAATTTATTATTTTTTCAACAATTTGGGTCTTCACGTGACTTGCCGTTAATTGTATGAGCTCATTTTGAATATTTTTTCCTATATACTTGTTTTAGGTGAATTCTCATCACGGGATCAAATTGGGCTATTAACTTAACTACTAAACTAACTAACTAACTAACAAATCTATAAAGTTGCCGCTTGTCTCACTTGAATCTGAGTCAGATGTTAATTTCTCTCTATGACCCCTGAATGCCAAATTGTGAGATGCTAAAAAATTTACAATTGCGTGCAATCGTTCTAAAATATCTCTCCAACGTTGTCTTTCTTGTTCAATTTGTGACTGGGCCAAGAAGTCAATATTGGAACAGCTTCTTAAACCATTCTCTAAATTAATCCATTTCAACATACAATTTTTGTGCTGTCGACTAGATTTTAGGTCACCCAAGTGTTTCCAATCACACACTCCTTCACTTGATCCAATCTTTGTATTTTCTAGCCTGAATATTCGTCACGGAAAGCAGTAAACGGCATCCTTTGTTTGTGAATAAATCATCCAGCGCCTGTCAAGCTTTTCACCGTTAGCTAATATCTTATTATAATGATATTCGCTGAATCGCCGTCCATGGATGTAGACATAGACTCAGGCTCAGATTCGTGTTCTTGACGGAATAGCGTTGACGGCGGCACCGGTGACCTAAGAGACAATGATGTAGTTAATTTATCACTATCCTCACTGTTTTTACTTAATGTAGGCGGCGGCACCCATGATGATGTGGAAGGAATGTTTTCAACTGGATCAGGATTAGAGTCACTTTCAGTCAATAAATGTTTTGTAGAGGTTTCTTGATCATCTCTTTTTATATATTTATGTAAATATCCACTTAGATTTTCTTTTGACAGCTCGTTTGCTTTTTGAACTACCCGACTCAAATTTTCTACCGACATCACGATCACGCGAACTCATTTCGTAAACCTTGTTTTGTTTCGCACAAACAATCAGAAATAATTTTTAAGTATCACATAGTTTTTTTACACTTTTTCAACTTACACAATACTTCAAATACTATAATTTACACTTTTCCAGCTCACTCAATAATTTAAATACTATAAGAACGTAATATTGAAAAAAATTTAAAGATATGTACTGTACAGTAACGATTTTATAATTATTTTGCTTGTATACTGCAAGCAAACTAATTCCAAGGTGATAGGAGTTGACGAACGAAATGAAACATGTGGATTCCCCGAGCGATAGAGAAACAGAACATTATGTCCCGACTCCCGAGCTGACCCGAGTGCTATGCGATTAAAAAACCGATCTTCAAGTGTTTCGAGGCGAGATATTCAAGTACTACACAATTAAATGTTCAATTATGTTTTGAATGAATGAATTAGTTAACAAACTTTATTTTAATTTACCGTTATATTATAACCTTAATGAGTAATGAAGGATCAAAATCAAACGTTTTAAATAAAAAAATATAGTTAACAAATTTATATTTTTTTAAATTTGCTTGGGTTGTTGCGCGAGGCCCCTGCAAGAGCGAGGCCCCGGGCGATTGTCCTGTTCACCACCCCCTAAGGCCGCCACTGCATGCTGCAGCTATATTAATATTATAGTATAGTTGTAGCACGAATGGATCGGCTCGACTGGGGAAGGACCACGCTTTCACAGAATACCAACGTAAAATAGCAGCTTAATTCTGCTGTGTTTCGTATGGTGAGTGTAGAGAACCGAAGACCCATTTTACTGGAAAAGAGACATTCTATCCTAGTCCTCACGACTGACAACGCATCTGCATTTTAATTCGCAAACGAAGATATGTGTAGCTATCTATGGGTCACAGCAATCACTTACCATCAGGTGGACTATGTACTCGTTTGTCACTCTTATACTATAAAAAAAAAAAGAAATGGGTGCATTTGCTTTAACTACCTTGTTGGTGTAGTGGTTGTAATTGCAACTATTGATCATGTGGTCCCGGGTTTGTATCTCGGGATGGGCCAATAACTAGTTGTTGAGTTTTTCTGTCGAGTAATTCTCATTAGCAGCGCGAAGTCAGCAAGTTGGCAGTGTTTCACCGCCTTGCCTCGGAAAGTACTGTTGGTTATGCGCCTAATTTCTCTACGGTCATGTCGGATTGTCGTCCTATCGGATTATGAGAGTGAGTTAAAAGAGAATGTAACTGAGCTTGCGCATACACTCGTGCACTATAATCCAATACTGCGCGTATGGCGAGTTTTCATTGGGGCTGGCCGCTGTGACCGAAATTGTGATGTTGTGATTAATGGGCTTCTTCTTGTTGAAAATACGATAATTAATGTTGCCGATTTCGTCACACTGAAAAACTGAGAATAAATTTCAGCTCGCCGAGTTCTATAAAATAGAATAAGGTTAACAACGAGCACACAGTACACCTGATGGTTAGTAAATATTGTGGCCGATAGACATCTACATCTTTTCTCATCAATCAAAATGCAGATGAATTATCACCCTATGAAGACTAAGATGAAATGTCTCGTTTCCAGTAAAAAAGGGTCTCCGGTTCTCTTCACTCAACGCACGAAACACAGCAGTGTTAAGCTGCTGTTTTCGGAGTCCGCACACTAATGGGAACGGAAAGGGATCGTAACCGTATCGCCTCGAGTCGTTCAGAATGGTTTGTATTTAAACTCCCTACTGCAACGCACACTAATCGGAATCGTACCGTGATCGCCTCCCCTCAGAACAGGCTCCGAACTTGCAATTCCCGCGCTTACGGCTCCTTACGTCTCTCCGTCCCCGCGCTTACGTCTCTCCGTCCCCTGTCCCCTCCTGCGACTTGCGTGCTAAAGAGAAAGACGCCGCCATTCTGCCATTCGCAAGGCGTATTTCATTTGTGTTGCGCGTTTCTTTTTCCTCTTCATCAAGTACTATGGCTATGATAGCCAACTCACGTATTGTAAACCAAGACATAACCGTGCGCTACACTTAACGTTTGAATTCAAACTGATCTGGTGCCAACCAGGTCAGCCAGCGGGCGGCGAGGCGTAAGCGCGGTGTCGCCTAGCCGTAGCCAAGTTGACGTACAGGCGCTGCTGATACGCTTTCGTTACGTGCATACGGTAGGTTGACGCCTGGTTGACAGCTAGGTGAAAGGCGTTACGGTTACGATCCCTTTCCGATCCCATATGTGTGCGGACTCCTTTACGCTGCGATATTGTGAGAGCGTGGCTCTCTCCGGTCGATCCGACCCATTCGTGCTAAAACCATAATATATCTACAGCATGGCTCTAGCACGTAAAAATGTTTGTGCTTTGAGTGTTTGATTTGTCATAAGGGCATCAGAATAAGTGAATTCATGCGAAGTGTTCCTATCATCTGCCGGTACATAGGTTATAGGAACACACAGTGGAAAGTTACTTTCAAAATCGGTAAAAAATAAAATAAAAAGAAACCCCGATAAATTTTAAAGACATTGTATATTTATATTTGTTATGTACACCTATTATAGAGTATGAACACTTTAACAGATTTTCAATATACAGATTAGAATAACAATAACTATTTTTGGACATGTTTACATTTTTATTGTTTTGTAATGACAGTAGGTACATATAAAAATATTTTCTGAGAATACAGTTTTAGAAAATAATTCGTATTTCATTGTGTTTGTCTTTTATTGGGTATAGTTGTTTCGCTAGTAAATGAAAAAGTTATGAAATCGTTTAGATTTTTATAATAATCATCAATGATCTATGGATGATATAAATTTTCCATTTTATAAAAAAAATCTACAAGTTTTTCGGATAAAATATATACTTAGATCACTCCTGGAATTGCTCTCTATCTGGTGAAGTTTCATCACAATCGGTTCAACCATTTCATTATTAGCCCAGACAGACTAACAGACAGGCAGACAAACAGACATTCAAAATGGTTATTTATGTCTTAATGATATTATGGACAGACATTTCAATTTTATTTATATGTATAGATAATATTAACTCGAAAAGAAATATTTCTTAATTAAGATATAGGTACACACTGGAGCTCTAAACGAGCCTAATGTCACGTGATCAATTTGACTAGGCCTAACTAATTTATATAAAACGTGATTGGTGGTTTTGTAGTATATTTTTGGTATTTGACACAAAATATAAATATGTTTTAATCTTCTATTCTTACAAACTTAATTGGTATACATTAAAATTACACAGACTATCTTAGCACCACTTCTGTTTGTCTATCGTAACATACAGTCAATAATATATAATATACATCGCATATATATAATATACATTCACTAAATTTCATTACATTTATATTGGAGATATTTTTAATTTGGAATGTGATCACTTTCAGGGTTTAACTGGAAGGCTAACTAAGTAAATGGTAATTTCAAAGTATATCTTTGGGACAAATTTTGCACCACGTTAATCCTATGTCATACAAGAGTATCTAAAACGTAGCCCGTCGGCCCGTAATTGTGTACTGGATGATTGTTAGATTGATCTAAAACAGGAACATAGCTTTCTTGCAAAAGAATAGGCTGCCGGCTTGAAGCTTCGTTCAACTTTCTTTCAAGTACTGCGTTCTGTAATTCTTCCTCTTCTAGCTCTAACGTCAACTCGTCCATCAGTTTCATTCTCCTCTCTATTTCTCTGTCTGCTCGTTCCAGTTCGATTGCATTACTCTCCATCTCTTGTGCGGTCTTCGCTAATTCCTCTTCAATTTTATCGATAAGCATACTAACTTGTGTAACATTTTCGCAGCTGTTCACTTTATTTTCGTCCATATAACGCTTCACTTTTGCAGTTAACCTAACAACAAGTTCCTCTTCTCGGTGTAACCTTTTGTTTATTATCGCTAATTTTTCTAAAAGTTCAATTTCTTCTCTTATCCGAGACAGTTCATCTGCTGAAACATCTGAATCTGTGTCCGTATGAGTTTGGATAAGTCTTTCAGAATTCACTTGACAAATGTCTGTTAGTTCTTTTGTGAAGTAATGCTCTCTCATTAGATGTCTTTCCCTTCTGGATTTATGTTTGGTGTGTCTTCTTGGAGGAGTTCCACTGCCGACGCCGACTCCACTGTCACTGTTCCCAGCTTGGCTGTCGTTGACTTCACTACATCGACCGAGATCTCGAAGGTATGATTCAAGCAAGTAGTTGGTACCGTGTTTTTCCATTCGATTTTTGTGAGTTTGATCTTCCAAATGATCAATAACTTTTTCTTGCTCTCTGAAATAAGAGAAAAAAATATATAAATAATTATTATTTTAATACTAATTACTTATTTATAATAAGTACCGGGTGATAATTGAGTGACGTGATAATCAATGAAAAAACACAAAAAGTAGAATGACTGCGTGTACAATGCTTCATCATTATCTTCAATACATTCTATTCTAAAAGCAAAAAATAAGGTTAGACTTTATAGAAGTTATTGAACAGGGTTCTTATTTCTTAGAGAGATTAACAATTTCATTCGTGCTGGCGGAGATCGAACCCGGGTTGCTCGTGTATTAAAACTGCTCTTGGGCTAACACGGCTTATTGCATATATACAGTCTATTCTATATTATATCATATTCCAGAGTCAGCTGAATCCATCGGCTTTCTGCACTACTTAGCAGGTTATAGTTCCAAAAGGGTTGCCGCCAATACTCCGTTTACCGGGATGAGGTGGTTCTTCGAGAATCTTTCTTCCTCATTGTTTAAATTTGCTTTAAATATGTAAGTACTTTTATACGTAGTAGAGCCATGCTATTATATTATGGTTGTAGCACGAATGGGTCGGCTCGACCGGGGAAGGACCACGCTCTCACAGAATACCAGCGTCAAATAGCAGCTTAACGCTGTTGTGTTTCGTATGGTGAGTGTAGAGAACCGGAGACCCTTTTTACTGGAAACGAAGCATTCCATCTTAGTCCTCACGGGTGACAACGCATCTACATATTCATTCGTAATCTAAGATAGGTGTAGATGTCTATGGGCCACAGCAACCACTTACAATCAGGTGGACTGTGTGCTCGTTTGTCACCCTTATCCTATAAAAAAAAAGTACCATAAGATTTTTAATACTTTACAATGTCACTACACTGCGTGAAATTGCGTAAATACTACAAATGGTGTCAAACTCACCTAAGCTTATCTAACTGTTGATGGATAGTCCTGCTTTGATGTTGGATTATAGAGACTAGTTTAGCAGCAGGGTCTTCGCTACGAGCTCTAGGTGGCGGTGTGGCGGCTCGGACACCTTTCCTGCGACGTCTCCTCACACCTGCACGGCTGCCGGCGTCACTGTCTCGCCCTGAATCGTCCTCACCACCACTCGACAATCGCCGGAGTGAAAGTCTAACCTGTTATAACCATAAAGATATATTTTATTACCGTAATTAAAGAGACTATTACATATTTATTCTGTCAACTATTTATTTATGATCAACTGAAGTAATTTTCACACCTCGAACGCGAAGCGAGAGAGGTTGGTTACTGTTTACTGTTGACTTGACGAGGTCACGCTATACGCTCTCAATAAATTTGCTATAGGCACAGAGTAAATAATAGTGTATTATTTTCATATCGCACTAATACGCATTCAAATTTGTTTCTTAGAAAGGTTTTTACGTGAAATAATAAACCAATATTAAAGTTTGTTACTTTGAACTTAAATATTTGTAACACTCGACCACTGAAACGCTGAGGTAATAAAATCTTCAATAATAAAGATTGAAAAAGATTCTTAAATGATGATAAATGTAGATGATTATGGTTATGGGCCACAGCACTCATTTACCATCAGGTGGACTCAGTGTTCGTTTGTCACCATTATTCTATAAAAAAACCTTTTTTTTTAAATTATTCTATAAAAAAGTTTTGAGATGCTCGAAATTTAAAAATGGTACGTTGTGTTATATGTTTCTAAGAAGAAAATTTATTTTAAAGTAAAACTTCATAAGCCAATTGCTCAATATTAAAAAAAAAAACAAAGTTCTATTAATCTTTCTGCAACGCTTCCCGCGCTTTTCATTTAAAACGATGGATCTTAACCATGAACATTTGCGCGCTATGATATATTATGATTTTAAATTTGGTTTAACCGAACAGTTAAGTTTACAACGATTACAATCTGCATTAGGGGACTCAGCTCCATCACGCGCAACAATTTTTAGGTGGTTTGCTGAATTCAAAAGGGGTAATCTTAAAGATGACCAAAGAACCGGGACCCCTCAAATAGCAGTAACGGCAGAAAATGTATGGACTACTGAAATGTTGGTGCGAGAAGACCCACGAATCACAAATACGGACATCGAAAAGATTGTAAGCATTAGTTCGGGGAGCATTCATACCATCCTACATCAACATCTTGGGGTGAGGAAGCTTTCTTGTCGATGGATCCCTGGTTTGCTCTCCGAAAGCGAAAAACTGACTCGTGTGGATTGCTACCATGAAATGCGTCTACGTTTTGAAAACGGGGCATCTAGGCGTGTTTCAGAAATCGTTACTGGTGACGAGACATGGATCTGTCAATATGATCCGGAAAATAAAAGGCAATCATCGGTATGGGTCTACTCAGAAGGACAGTTATCGACAAAACTGCAAAGACCTCGCAACGTCGGCAAAAAATGGTGGCTAGTATTTTTATCGCGGAGCGGCCATTAATTTGTCGACGTCAATGCTGAAAAATTGTATGTCAGTCAACTCTAAATGGTACTACAGTTGCATTACCCAAAGCTTTTCAAGCTGTGCGCGAGAGAAAACCAAAGACCGGACTTCGGGGAATCATGCTGCATCACGATAACGCCTCTTCACATACCTCCCTTAGTACAAAAGCATTCATTGAGGAATCTGATGTTAAAACTCTAAGTCACCCTACAGCCCTGACTAAGCTCCTTGTGATTTCTTTTTGTTCCCAAGAGTCAAAGAAAACTCGAAAGCGATTCGGCGCTTGAAAATAAAAGGCAAGTTTTTTTCAAGCGCCGAAGAAACCGTGGCTGTCTACGAAGAAGCGATTTCCGACCTGTCAGATCAAGACTGGCAAAAGTGTTTTCAGAGTTGGTTTATGCGAATGGAACTTTGTATAAAGCACGACGGAGAATATTTTGAAAAGATATAAAATAAATATTAATAGTATCTAGAATACTTTTTGTATATCTCAAAACTTATTGAGTGACCTACGTAGCAAGTTGTTTTTGTGTCATCTAGACATCTTTATCTGTTCTCGATTAAAAATCAAAATGCAGATACGTTGCCGCCTTTGAAAACAAAGATTGAATGAAAGAAATTTTCTTTGAAAACAAAAAAATCCCATGTTTGTGACATCGTGTTTAAAGTAGAGTCCTTCCTCAGAAAAACAGACCTGTATGAATGTAACAAGTTTTTGAGTCAACAATACCTTATTTTTTTACATGTTATAAGTGAGAGCTTGACTACATTTCGACCTGGTGGAAAGTGGTGATGATGTCTAACATGGTAGTCATTGCCACATTATCTTTGGCTTATATCTGTTACATATCAAATTATTCTTTAATTAATAAAGATAAGGAGCGCACTTGTGTGATGTGAGTGGGATTTTGAGTGTACGCGCACACGTGTTTGTGTGTGTGTGTGTGTGTGTGTGTGTGCGCCTGTGTATATATGGGTTAGTATTGTTGACCTGCGTATTAATTGCAATTATTGATACCTGTATTTATGGAGTACCAACCTCATGCCTTGCGTCTCCCCAAGCAGCTAGCACGTGTAACACAGGCGCGTCAGGCGGTAAAGGCCTTTCCACACCACGCCACCTCTCCGCCAACACCCATTCGCCATGTTCGCTTAATCCACCACCAGCTGTTGAAATTAAATTTTCATTATTAAATACAGCCACCTGGTTACTTTCCACCCGTTACACCGTTTCAGCCTATGAAAGTCGACTGCTGAACATAGGCCTCCCCCATAGATTGTCTCATAGAGGGGATTTTTGGCATAGGGCATTGCCATTTTTATTTTTAGTCTTTATTTTGAAGACGCTTCTGCCCATCTCCTTAATTATTTCCTTCTGTTGCCTGTTACGACATCCCCGGGGTAATATGGGGTAGTAGATATTCTTACACCGCCACTGCTCGGTAATACTTCCCATAATTTCATAAGGAAAGGAAACTTTCGGTCATGTTTAACAGCCTACCTTCTGGAGCATCTTGCAGTACTCGGACAATATCGGCGCAAGTCGTGTGAGGTCGAACGCCTCTGACCCAGAGCTTCTGACCTCGCGCTATCACCCCCACTTCCTCGTCACTGTAGTCCGATGACGATGCCTCCATGTTACATCACCTGGAAATAAATAATTAAATAAATGCTATTATCTAATAAATTATGTACTTAATATTTTTTTCTTGAGAATTTTATATGATTTTTTTTGTGTTATCAAATATTATTAGGCGTTATTTTGCGGCGTATATTCTTGAAGTAAAGTATAAGTTTTCTATAAATTAAATATTTTAATGGCCCAGGGCTCACCCCATCCCCAATTTTCACAAGAATCTTAAAAATATACAATTGATAAATCTTCTTTTGTCTATATAATATTGGGTATAAGGTATCTATATTTTCCGAAATTTCAATGAAAAAGCTATTACAGTTCAGTAACAGCTTTTTTTTTACAGATTTTTGTAGTTTTTACTGACAATCATTATAAAGTTGAGGCGGGGAACTGACTGTTGAAATTTACCTCCAGGAGCATTGTCTCACTGCCCACCTCCTGCTAGACTTAAGATCAATTAAGCTAAAACACTAAGTGTAGAAAAAGTTCAACTAACTCTGTATATATTTATTTGTATATATTTTATAGTATAGGGTGACAAACGAGCACACAGCCCATCTGATGGTAAGTGGTTGCTGTGGCCCATAGAAATCTACATTTATCCTCGTTTACGAATCAAAATGCAGATGGGTCGTCACCCGTGAGGACTAAGATGGAATGCCTCTTTTCCAAGAAAATAGTTCTCCGGTTCTCCGGGTGGCAACACCCGTGAGGACTAAGATGGAATGCCTCGTTTCCAGTAAAAAGTGTCTCCGGTTCTCTACACTCACCATACGAAACACAGCAGTGTTAAGCTGCTATTTGACGCTGGTATTCTGTGAGAGCGTGGTCCTACCCCGTTCGTGCTACAACTAGAGATTTAGGAAATGAACTAACAAATCCCAATTTCATGAGCGAAGTTCCAAGTAACTGTTCATTATTACACCAATGAAACTACTATGTTGCAAACTTTTTGAACAACAAGCGCCTAGTTTTAAAGTTTATGCAATTGTGGCGCCTAGACGCGCCTGGCACGTCTGCTGACGGGGGAACAAAAGGAGGCCTTAAATACCACCTTACGTCAGGAAATAATCGCTTGTAACCAATTTACACTGCAAGTTTTATACTTTTTGAGAAAGTAGGTTTATTTGTAAGTAAGAATTTACTGTACATTTTAAATATATTTTCTCTGTATTCGTATATCTGCAGTAACGATACCTAAACGTATAATATAGATCCCTACATATGCTAAGAAGAACCTCTCCCGTGATATTACAGATCTTATTAAAGAGGATTTACCTATATTTGGCAGACCAATGGGCGATCGCAGTATACCAGAACTTTCGCACATTTAATGACTTGGTCTACGTAGGCATCTGGCGTAAACAAAACTGTCATATTTCCATCTATACTTTTAACTCATAATCGCCTCTATCATCGGAGTTAAATGTGTTTTTAAATAGAAGGACGGGTTACAATCGAGCACACAGTTCATACACACCTGTATCTCTCGTATTAAAATGCAAATGCGTTGTCACCCCTGAAGACAAAGATAGAATACCGCGTTACCAGTAAAAAAGTCTCCGGTTCTCTTCACTCACCATACGAAACATTGCAGCATTATGCTGATATTTCACGCATATGATTAGCACGATATTCTGTTAGAATGATCTTTACCTGGGCGAACCGAATTATTCGCGTTGTAGTCATAATACAACTGCAGTTACAGAGCAGTTTGCAGCAGCGACACAAATCTACATTATATATATATATATATATATATATATATATAGTTTTCTCTTATGTCGCTACCAGGGTATAATAAACTTACAGTTAGGTATTTAATAGCCTATAATAAATATAATATGAATTTATTAGTTAATATTTGTTGGCATAACATAGCGTGTTTCTATTGCACTATAATCCAGCAGAAAAACGTATTAAACTACGAAATAAGCCTCTTTGTTGTAATAAAAAATCAGCATTCTTCGTTTTCTGCGAAAACATTATTATTCGTGACTTGGCGCCATTAGGCGTTTCCGTCAGTCTCCCCTTTTCAACTTCACCCCTTATCTCACCCCAACCCCCTTGGCATTTAGGGCAGGTACCGCGCCTCGTAGGGTGTATTTTGGTATACTTCTAATTGTGTTAAGTTATAATATATAATGGAGATTGTTAACTGGTCGTACTTTTTTTGGTATAAAATTCACTGAAAATTAAATGTATTAAAATTACAATCTCATTTTCAAAAGAAGGTAATAAGCTATCCTTCAGCTCCCATTGTAGTCATTTCATTTTAATTTTTTAAGAAAAGTTACTACCACACTAGGATTTTCACCTATATCGTGGAGGCAGTTCATATATTTCACAAAGAAAAACATCCGGATCAATTATTTGTAGGCCATCTTGTTTCGTGTGGGATTTGAACCCGCGGCCCTCGGCGCTGCAACTAAATTGATAAGCTTAAAGATTTTTAATTATTTGGTTTAATGAAATTGTTACAATTTAGAAAAACTCCCAAGAGTTATAAGAATTACACCTTATAGAATGATTCGTAGGCAATACATGTTTTCCTTTAAAATTTAAATGCATGCACTTTCACTTTTTTTACGTGGAAACAGAAACAGAAACTTTTTATTCAATATAGATTATAAATAATACTTAAAGTCACTCTTTTGTTTGATTACCACTGGTTCGGAAAAAACCTCTGTACTGGGAAGAACCAGCAAGAAACCCAGCGGGACTTTTTTTTTAAATAACAGCTTACAATCATGATGTTACACAAATTAACAACAAATTAGAAATAGCTTGGTAGCGATCACCTCATTTCCAGGGGTTATTATCATCCATAAATTCCTTAATATTATAATAACCCTTTTTATAAAAACTTAGTTTAATAAAGTTTTTGAACTTTGAGCAGGTCAAACTTTGTATATTTTCTGGAATTTTGTTGTAAAAGCGTATACATCGCCCCAAGAATGAATTACTGACTCGATGGAGTCGAGTAACTGGTACTACTAGCTTGTGTCTGTTCCTAGTATTTACAGAATGAATATCACTTATTTTTGTAAAACTACTTTTATTTTTGTGTACGTACATTACATTTTCATAAATGTACTGAGAGGCCAAAGTTAATATATTAATTTCTTAAAATTTTTGTCGCAGCGACTCTTTAGGCATTAAATCATAAATTGCTCTTATGACCCTCTTCTGCAAAACAAATATAATTTCAGTGTCAGCTGCGTGGCCCCATAGCAAAATACCATACGACATTATGCTATGGAAGTAGCTGAAGTAAACTAGTCTAGCTGTTTCAACACTGGTTAGACTTCTAATCTTTTTTACAGCATATGCTGCAGAACTAAGTCTGCTTGCTAGTTTTGATATATGGGGGCTCCATTGAAGCTTCGCGTCTAGTGTGATTCCAAGAAAAATGGTGGTATCTACAAGACTCAGTTTCTCCCCATTTAAAATTACATTAGTAAAGCCATAAAGTTGGTAGAGCCATGCTGCAGTTATATTATGGTTGTAGCACGAATGGGTCAGGTCGACCGGGGAAGGACCACGCTCTCACATAATACCAGCGTAAAACAGCAGCTTAACACTACTGTTAAGTGTGGTGAGTGTAGAGAACCGGAGACCTATTTTACTGGTGAAGAGGCATTCCATCTTATTTCTCACGGGTGACAAAGCATCTGCATTTGATTATTTATTGAGGATAGGCGTAGATGTTTATGGGTCACAGCAACCACTTACCATCAGGTTGTGCTCGTTTGTTATCCTATCCTATAAAAAAATAAAAAAATAATTGATTTTAAGCCACTTGGTAGTCGTTGATTCGTTAATGAGCAGAAAATGTATTTGTTAAGATCCGTCAGCAAAAACAAAATGGTAAAAATTGCAATTTAGTGTTAATAACTGAACATAGGCCTCCCCCATAGATTACCTCTTAGTATGGCTATAAGAAAAATATCTCCCCATATTTGCCATAATTGACAGGTGGACCGCAATTTATTACTTTATTGTGTTATTGAGTTGACATCAGGAAAGAACTGCTGTCCATCTTCTGTGTCAATTTCGCTCTATCACCACTTACGACACCCACAGGATGATATGGGTAGTGGAATCTCTTACGCCGCCACTAAATGGTGATGATTTAAACATTTTTTTATAGGATAAGGGTGACAAACGAGCACACAGTCCACCTGATGTGTAGATGTGTAGATGTCTAAGGGCCAGCAACCACAGGTAAGTGGTTGCTGGCCCTTAGACATCTACATATATATTCGTTTGTGAATTAAAATGCATATGCGTTGTCAGCCGTGAGGACTAAGATAGAATGCCTCTTTTCCAGTAAAATAGGTCTCCGGTTCTCTACACTTACCATACGAAACACAACAGCATTAAGGTGCTATTTTACGCTGGTATTCTGTGAGAGCGTGGTCCTTCCCCGATCGAGCCAACCCATTCGTACTAAAACTATACTATTAATATAGCTGCAGAATGGCACTACCACGTAAAAAAAGGATTTATAGGATATGGGAGGCAATCATGGGGTCTATGTTCAGCAGTGGATTTTTACTGGACTGTAATGTTAACATTTTCAAATAATTTTTTTGTTTTAGATATCCTATTTGAATCTATGTAAATATTTGTTTTAGTCTCGACCTATATAAAATATTTGTTTTATCTTCGACTATTCCTAACGGAGCTTGTAACACGTTTAATCATATTTCCTCATAGATCAATTCTCGACTCGTTTTCCAGATGTCAGGCAGGATATTGTGGTACACTAAGGTAGTACTTACAAAGTAGGCACTCAATCGACCCGTCGGTATTGCGGAGTAGTGGTGTTCACGCGACGCCTACAGCCTGATTGCCGACTGCACGGTAGCTATAGTGATGTGCGCGGACGGTTTTATCGATTTCCTTTCGGTTTAATTCAAACAAATTGTTTATTTTTTATTTTTCTGCAATGTGACACTGTGATTATTCTTTATTTTTCTTAAAAGCTAACAAAAC